AAACACCCTATTACATAAAGTTACAATCAGTCTCAACACAAACACCCTATTACATTAAGTTACAATCAGTCTCAACACAAACACCCTATTACATTAAGTTACTATCAGTCTCAACACAAACACCCTATTACATTAAGTTACAATCAGTCTCAACACAAACACCCTATTACATTAAATTACTATCAGTCTCAACACAAACACCCTATTACATAAAGTTACTATCAGTCTCAACACAAACACCCTATTACATTAAGTTACTATCAGTCTCAACACAAACACCCTATTACATTAAGTTACTATCAGATGTCACTTGGTGAAATTAATTTTATGATGTGAGCATTTTTGTAAAGAATATTAGCAAAATTGACAAAATAGGACATTGTACAACATATACTTATTACTATTAAATAAATGTAATCACATGTATACTACTAGCAGTTAAACAGCAAACTATGAGAAAATTCCATATTACTTAAAGCTAGTTTGCATATTATGTCACGAGGTCTTTAATTAAACTACTTTCTTTTCATGCTATACCAATAATTATAACATAAAAACATAGCTACCAATCCATATTTTAATAGTAAATATGTTTTAATTTCTTACTTTCAGAAGGCGATATAAAAAAAAATCTAGAATTTTCCCTAGTGTGAGAATTTTGACATTTGCTCTCTAGGCATCCCCTCTTCTCTAATTTATTTACCACCCCTCCACGAGGTATGAATCTTAACATAAGTTACTCATTATAATATCATCATCACTCAGGCAATGCATAATTTTTATAGCCTTCAATCTTATTTGGTTACAGAGATATGAAATAGACAACCAGATCCCTCTTGCCATGCCCACCTGTCACATTATCTCTTTCAGAAATTGCCAATAATTCTCTCTGCCATTCAATACTATATTATTTATAACCAATAGAAAGCCAAGGTTTTCATCTATCATGTGACATATTATATAATGTTGTTTTCTGTAATGATAATTGACAATTGCATTTTCAATTCAAGCATGATTCCAATGGGAAACACACCGATGAGCTTAAACGAAGTTTTAACGGCTCTTGTCGCATAGTTAGAAAGCCAGAAAAATTGTGATAGTTATAGGACATTGTTTGTTTTTTGCACTATATTTTTTGGTGTTCTTTGGTGCATTATTTAATTAAATAAAAAATTATTTAGTGTAGTACTACCATTAGTAAAAAAAAAGTAGGATTAAGTGTCATCGACAGCAACAAAAAGAAGATCCAGGTAAGTACCAATTTCGTAATGAGAGAGTTAATTGAAGATAATATATATTTTGTCTTCAATAATACATTTATCAAACTGAAACACACTTCACCCATCATTTATTCCCAACTGTTAAAAATACATTAGGTTTATCCAACAGCACTGATAAAATATCCATATTTTCATGGAAATATTGATGAGATCTATCACCTTCACAAACAAGAGTGATTTGTAGCTGTCGTAGATATTAGAAACACAAAATACTGCAATAACCACAAGATTTTGATAGCTACTGTATTAGAATTAGCTTTCCAATGAGATTACACAATGTACTAGTTGATGCAATTTAAAACAAAAATTGTATGATGCTTATCTCACAAAAATAATAATTCAGATTATCTTCTTATTTAACTGAATCTATAGCTAAGATATGAACATTTATACATTACCTAATTTATCCCACATGGAAAGTATTTGAAAACCCATTAATACCCGCATGTCTCCATATCTGGAAAAGATCATGTTTTTTAAAAATACAATCTTTATTTACCTAAAACAAACTGTTGTTTGTATGCTTTGTGTTCAACAACAAAAAAAATATTGCACAAAGTTTGGTGTGACAATAAATCAATCCTATAAAGTTGGTAAGGTCTGATTATTTACATAAAGCTTTCTAAAATAAGTTTTTTACTAGTTAAAGAAATAACAAAATACACCTTTTTTCTTAATTCCTTTATTCTAATTGACATAAGATTTATTAATAAATTAAATGTTGAAAGTGTTTATGTTTTGTTTTTTTCAATAATTATCTATTTTCTAACCATTAAGGTAGATGTCACTGTTGTTGCTAAGTGATACTTTGAACTTATTCCAAATATGACTTTAACCCTATCGCCATGGGTCAAAGGTCATGTCATTGTGTCTGTTGCATTCAAACTTTCATTAAGTTTGGTATCAAACTGTATATTATAATTCAAATTTTAGTATTTTATATTATTGGATTTCTTAACTTAAAAGTAAATATTAAAAAACACACCTAAACATCGACCTTTGTGTGTCATGTGGTAAGTTGAATGCAGCACTAGTTCAAATTAGATGTTTGTGATGTCAAAATACAAAGTTTATAGTTTTGTATGAATTAGGAACTCATATTACCAATATTAACAAGCTAGAATATTAAATAAGAACCTCCTATCTTTTCTATTTGCTGAGATATTGCTCATGTACTGAATCAAACACAGTGGCCCTGCTCACCTCTTTCCATTTTGGGAAACTGTCCCTTACATACACTTACTTCTGTATATGAC